GGTGCGCTCGCCTGTATCCTAGCTCTCTGGGAGGCCGAGGCGGTGGATTGCTCAAGGTCAGGAGTTCGAAACCAGCCGAGCAAGAGCAAGACCCGTCTTCTACTATAAATAGAAGAAATTAATGGGCCAACTAATATATAAGACAAAATTAGCCAGGCATGGTGGCGCATGGCCTGTAGTCCAGCTACTGGGGGGCTGAGGCGGAGGATCCTTGGCCCAGGAGTTTGAGGTTGCTGTGAGCTAGGCTGACGCCACGGGCACTCACCTAGCTGGGCAACAAAGTGAGACCTGTCTCAAAAAAAAAAAAAAAAAAAGAAAAAGACGCCATCCTCCCCAATGAGCCCCCAAGAAAACCGTATTTTCCTGAGACTTGGGCGAGAAACAGGTTGGCCCCAGAATAGACCCGTCCTTGACTTTTCAGGAGCAGCTCAGGGACGAGCCCTTCATGACTCTGCAGGACAGTCCGCTGCCGGTGATTTATGTTTATCGTCCGAGGCTTTCTCAGAGTGGCAGGAAAGGCTCTTTCCGGCACAGCGGTGTCTTGCGGCGAGCCCGCGGGGCCCCTCTGCGGCATTTCTGCTTTGCGGGCACAGCTGGGCCCAAAGGCAGCGGCAGGTGTGCGCCCCCACCCGCCCGCCTGGGCCCCACCCAGCCTCGCTCCGGGCCTGCACCCCTCACGGGGCTGAGGAGCCAGAAGGAGTCTTGAAAAGGTCTCGTGACGATCGAGGCCAGGACCTCCGGAGCGTGAGCAGGGCAGCGGCGTGTCAGGAGCAGGAGCAGGAGCACTGGGGAGGGCCGAGGACTGGCCCTGCCGCTGCGCCTGTACGGCCCTCGTGCCGCGGTGGCCTCCTCCTGGCCGCCTCTCCACCACCCAGATGCTTCTGTGGCCAAGGGAGGCTCAGAAATGGCAGGGGGTGGCAGGATGGGGGTGGTTTGGGGTTTGCTCCGGGGGGTCAAGAGGAGTTCTGCATCTTCTGTCGATAATAACAAGAGGCCAGGCGTGGTGGGTCTAATCCCAGGGCTTTGGGAGGCCGAGGTAGGAGGATCGCATGAGGTCAGGAGTTCGAGACCAACCTGAGTAACATAGTGAGACCCCATCTCTACAAAAAGAAATCATTTTTAAGTTAGCCAGGTGCCCTTTCTGTGCCCGTCCTTTGGCGCTTTCTCCCTTTGCCGCGACAGTGAGTCTGGTCGTCATCTGTGCCGTATGTGCCAGGCTCCTCCGTAAACCTGTATCTTGCTTTTGCCCTCTGACCCTATCTTTCTCTCCTCAATAAACCTCATTTTCCTGTTTGCCATAAAAACAAAAACATTAGCCAGGTGTGGCAGTGGCCATGCCTGTTAGTCCCAACTACTGGGGAGGCTGAGGCAGGAGGATCGCCCGAGCCCAGGCGTTCGAGGCTGCTGTGAGCGATGATCACATTACTGCACTCCAGCCTGGGGGACAGAGCGAGACCCTGTCTCTTAAAAACTCATAATACAAGAAAAATAACATCCGCCGTGAGTGCCACGCTTCCCACACCAGAGAATATGCTCACGCGCACCCTTTCCCCGAGTCTCCCTGCGCCCCACGCGGCGGACAGGGCCCGGCATTGACGGGCGGGGAAAGCAGTGCCCAGAGGGACTGGGGAACATCTGGTCCACGTGACAGAGCTCACACGAAACCCAGGGTGTCCCGCGTGGCTGAGTGCCGGCCGCCAGGCTCCCCGCAGCCCCTGGCCCAGCGCTCTTTCCCACCAGCGGGCCTGGGCCCTCTCTGTCCCGTCAGCTCTGAGCACCGTGTCCTCGGCCACCTGGAGGGGACCTCTGTGGGTCACCTGGGGTTCCTGCCTCCAGCACGCCCGCGGTCGGCGTCTGCGAGGGGCCGGAGCCGAGTGCGGTTGTGCAAGACAGCGTGCGGCTGGCGGGGACGTGCTTGGTGCCCGGAGCTTGTCGGGACTGCCGGGCGGCCTGAGGCCCCGTCCCGCCAGCCGTCCCCTCGCTGGCCAACAAGACCCCACGGTGTCAGGCTGCAGGGCCGACGGTGCCAGAGCTCACCAGACCGTTCCTCACGGGGTCCCTGGGCATCGCCCTCCCTGGCGCTCTCTCTCTCGCGCTCTCTCTCTCTCTCTCTCTCTCGTGTCCCTGCCCTACCGTTCTCCTCGAGGTTTGGTTTCCCTTCCCTTGGGTCACCCAGGCCCCTGCAAGCTGCAAGGGGAAATTATTGTGGGATGATTGAGGAGGGAGCTAAACCACGGGCGGGCAAACTACAGCCCGTGGGCCAAACCCAGCCTGCCGACTCGAAATAAGATTTCCCTGGAACACGGCCACGCTCGTTAATTTGCGTACTGTCTAGGCCGTTCCGTGCTGCCATGGCAGAGTGGCGTGGTTGACAGAAACCCCACCCACAATGCCGAAAACACCCGTCCTGTGTGCCTTAGGAGAGTTTGCCGAGCCCTGCTCTGGGCAAGGCCGCCCTCCCGAATCAGCTGCTCGCGGCGTGGGCGGGACCCCCTGAGACGAGCGGGCAGCAGGACGAATGGGGCCAGCTGGGCCGGCGTAGCTGACACTGAGGAGGAGCGCCGGGCCACAGGGAGCCAGTGGCGGGCCGGGACACGCCCACGCCAGGCACACGGAGCAGGTCAGGGCTGGGGACACGCCCACGCCAGGGACAGGGAGCAGGCGTGGCGGGCCGGGGGACACGCCACGCGGCACAGGAGCAGGTGGAGGGGCCGGGACACGCCCACGCCCGGCACAGGAGCATGGTGAGGCCGGACACGGGCCCACGCCGGGGCACAGGGTGCAGCAGGTGAGCGGCGCGTTTTACACGGCCCACGCCAGGCACAGGGATGGCTCCGGTGAGGCAGGACACGCCCACGCTGGGCACAGGGAGCAGGTGCGGGCCGGGGACACGCCCACGCCGGGCACAGGGAGCAGGTGAGGGCCGGGACACGCCCACGCCGGGCACAGGGAGCAGGTGAGGGCCGAACGCCCCACGCCGGGCCACAGGGAGCAGGTGCGCCGCGTGCAGGAGGCGCTGAGGAGGGACGCCCGCGCGCAAGGGCTGGCAGGGAGAACCCGCCTTGCAGCTGCGGGGTTTCTCTGTTCCTGGAAAACCGGGAGACGGGCTCCCTTCCCAGCCCGCTCGGTGAGGGAGCCTCGCTCACTGCCGCCTTTGCCTCCAGCAGGACTTCGGGGAGGACGGCTCCCTGTACATCGCCAAGGTGACCACCGTGCACACAGGCAACTACACCTGCCACGCGGCCGGCCGCGAGGAGCTGCTCCAGACCCACGTCCTGCAGGTGAATGGTTAGTAAATGGCTCCGCGCGCGTCGGCCCCCACCGCCGCCCCGAAACGCCGCCCAGAGCAGCGCGCCCTCCTGGGTTCTGCCTCCTCGGAGGAGCGTCTGACCCCGAAATGTCCCGCGTCTCTTACGAGCAAAGGGGGACGGTGAGGAGAGGGCGAAGTCTGGTGAGGGGTTCGCGTGTCCGGCTCCACCCGAAGCCGGCCCAGGCGAAACGAATCCAGGTGCCGGCGGGCTGGGTCGAGGGACAAGTCACGCTTGGCAGCCTCGGCTCCTGCAGGCCACCGTGGGGTGTGGCGGGGGCCCCGGGGGCAGCGCGGCCGTGGGGAGGCGCCGTGGCTCGGGATCCAGCGGGGCAGAGCCGTCTCCTCCCGCCACTGCTCCTCCTGGTGGCGTGACCCGCGTCACCTGCTCAGGTGGGCGGCGTTACGTCCTCCAACGGGGGCCTGTGCCCATCCCCCTCCCCGGGGGCTCGGTGAGCCCATCCCGGGCTAAGCCAGGACAGAAACCGAGGCCGGAAGGTTTTCTTTGATTCTCTGCAACCCCCGAGTCGCCGGGACCCCTAGATCTGGGAGGAGCGCACCCCTCCCGGCTGCGCCCGTGATCCCCACAGCCGTCACGGGGCCCCCCCAGGCGATGTGCTTTAACCCACCTTACGGATGGGTTTCTAAGTTAGGTGACCTGCCTGGGCCAGGTGTCGTTCTGGATCCGGAGCCCATGCTCTGACCTCCGCGCCACGTTGGTGGCTGCCTCGACCTGGCCCCGAGAGGTGTGACACGTGTAAGATGCTGGGAAAACACCTGGCAAGGGACGTGGTTCACGGTCCAGGGCGGAGCAGACACGGGGGAGAGTCTGGTTTGTCCCAGCCGTACTGAGCTGTCGTTGGTAGACACAGACGGGCAGAGCTGGTGGCCCCTCAGACACCCTCCAGCCCATTATACAGATGGGAAAATCAAGACTTGCAGAGAAAACTGTCAAGCCAGGAATAAATTGTAGGCTTCCTCCCCTAGAGCTGCCCCACTCCCTGGCCTCAGGGGCAGGATCCCATACACCACCGTCTGGGACTTCCCCTTCCGCGACTCTGCCAGACCTGGTCGCCTAAAGGGAGCCCTTCCAGGCACCCGCTGCCTCTCTCGAATTATTAGTATAACTTAGCCACAGCCTGGGCCGCCGGAGATGTGGCCCAAACCCCGACATGATTCATAACGTGGTGCAAACCGCTCGCATCACTTTCACAGGAAGGAGCCAGAACTTGAGACATAAATGATTAATCCATTAAATTAAAAACACCCTCCACCTCCCCGCAGCTCAGACAAGTAGCGATTCATCCCCCAAAACACAATAATAATCTCCCAAATCTGCTTATTTCTGCAGCTTGGTGCCTCTGTGACTGTCCCTCTTACTTAGGGACGTACTTGCGCCACCTGTTGCCTTGGGAACGGCCGATGCTCCCCAAAGAGAACGGGCCTTTGTGTTGCATGTGCGCAGATTCTCGCTGGAAAGTTTTGCAAATTGAAAAGACGATGAGTGGGTTTGCCCAGTATAAACTAATTTGGAATTATGGTTAGGGTGCGGATTAACACGGAAGGAAGAGGGAGGCTGGGCCGAGGGAAGGCGGCTGGGTCTTTGCCACGTTGAGGGCAGGAAGCTGCGTCCCCACCTCCACCTGGCCGAGCTGGGAGCCTGGGGGAGGGGCGGGCCCGGAGCTCGGGCATGGTAGATGCGGCACAGGGACGGCTCCAACTACGACTGTGGACAACTCTTGAGGGGGTTTTCAGGGAGAAAAATAGGGCATAGCTGGGAGAGAAGTTGAGATAAGGAAGGGGACTTTTTTTTTTTTCAAAATGGGAGAAATAAAAGCATTTTATGAGCCGGGCGAGGTGGCTCACTCCTGTAATCCTAGCACTCTGGGAGGCTGAGGTGGGTGGATCATTTGGGCTCAGGCGTTCCAGACCAGCCTGAGCAAGAGCGAGACCCTGCCTCTACTATAAATAGAAAGAAATTAATTGGCCAAGTAAAAATATATAGAAAAAATTAGCCGGGCATGGTGGTGCATGCCTGTAGTTCCAGCTACTTGGGAGGCTGAGGCAGCAAGATCGCTTGAGCCCAGGAGTGTGAGGTTGCTGTGAGCGAAGCTGGCATTCTAGCCCGGGCAACAGAGTGAGACCCTGTCTCAAAAAAATAAATAAATAAAAAGGAGAAATGAAGGCATTTCATGGGCCGACAGGAAAAGTCCACTAGAAAGGAGGAAACCGACGCAAGAACGGGAGCGGCGTGGGGGCGACGTCCGCGGGGACGAGAGGAGGTGAGCCTGGGAACGGGGCTGGGCGTGACGTGAGGCTCAAGGCCAGGGGCCTTTCTGGAGAAGCGAGGGACAACAGTCTGGACGTGGCAACGAGGCCCAGGAGGACGCCCAGCCACCCCCCAGCTGGGTGGTGCCCAGAGAGGGACCGGCCACGGACAGGCTCTGGGACAGGCAGCGTCCTCGAGAGGAAGCCAGGGCGCCATGGCAACGGGAGGCTGAAGGAGCATTCACAGGAGAGTCTGAGGATGTCAGCAGTGACAGAGTAGGAGTCGGAAGGCACAGCAGGGGGTGTGTGGCGGGGGACACCCAGTGCCCCAGGCTTCTGGTGGAGACGGATGTCATCGAGATGAAGGGCATGAGGAGGAAAGGCCTGATGACCCCAGGTAGAGCTGGGGCAAGACTGGGGGGTGGGGGGCAGTGCAGGTGGAGCAGGCGGGCGTCCATGCCCCTCTTTGGTCCTGCCGGCCAAGGGACGGAGCCAGGACAGTTGTCTTTGCCCCAAGGACATCTTCAGCTCAAGGGAACCTCGAGACCAGCAGAGGGTGTGAGCTGTCTTTTTAACCCCTGCCAGTGAAGACCCGGGTTTCGTGCATTTAGTCATGTATTGTTTTCATGGTTTTTTAAATTTTTTTTGTTGTTGTTGATACATAATATTTGCACATATTATGGGGGTATGTGCTGTTTTGCTGCATGCATAGACTGTGTAATGATCAAGTCAGGGTATTCGGGGTGTCCCTCACCTGGAGCATTTATCGTTTCTGCGTGTCGGGAACATCTCAAGTCCTCTCTTGTAGCTGTTTTGAAATATGCGATACATTGTTGCCAACTGTAGCCACCTCCTCTGCTGTCCAACATTCGAACATACCTTCCATCTAACAGTGCTTGTGCCCATTAACCAGCCTCTCTCTACCCCCCGTCCAACACTCCCCCCTTCCCAGCCTCTGGGGTCTCCCATTTCACTCTCTGCCTGCCTGAGGTCAATGTTTTGAGCTATGTGAACATGTTGCATTTGTCTTCCTGTGCGTGGCTGTTTCACTGAGCACAGTGACCTCTGTTCCATCCTGGCTGCTGCCAATGACATAATTTCGTTCTTTTTTTATGGCCAAAGAGTGCTCCACTGTGTATACATAACACATGTTTTTATCCATTCATCTGTGGATGGAACTTGGGTTGATTCCGTGTCTTTGCGGCTGTGAATAGTGCTGCAAAATGAGCAGAAAGTTGCAGCAACCCTTTGACGTACTGATTTCTTTGGGTGAATACCCCCTAGTGAGATTGCTGGGTCACATGGCAGTTCCATTTTTTAGCTTTTTGAGAAATCTCCACACTGTTTTCCATCGTGGCTGCACTCACTTATATTCCCACCAACAGTGCTAAGACTTCCCTTTCTCGGCAGCCTCACCAGCGTTTGTTATTGTCTTTTTCGTAACAGCCATTCTAACTGGGGTGAGATGATATCCCATTGTGGTTTTGATTTGCATTTCCCTAAATAATCAGTGATAGTGAGCATTTTCCATATACCTGTTGGCCATTTTTATGTCTTCTTTTGAGAAATGTCTATTCATGTCTTTTGCTCACTTTTTAATTTCTTTAGTTTTTTATTTTTTTACTGTTGTTGAGTTCCTTGTGTATTCTGGATATTAGTCCCTTGCCAAAAGAACAGTTTGCAAATATGTTCTCACATTCAACAGGTTGTCTCTACACTCTGTTGATGGTTTCCCTGGCCTGACAGAAGCGTTTTAGCTTAACATAGTCCCATTTGTCTGTTTCTGTTTTTGTTGTCTATGTTTTTAAGGTCTTAGCCATGAAATCTTTTCCTAAACCAATGTCTCAAGTGTCTCCCCTGTGTTTTCTTCCTGTAGTTTCATACTTTCAGGTCTTACATTTAAGCCGTTAATCCATCTCAAGTTGACTTTTTTATATGGCAGGAAATAGGGGACCAGTTTCCTTCTTCCGCACATGAATATCCATTTTCCCCAGCACCATTTATTGAAGAAAGTGTCCTTTCCCCAATGTATGTTCTTGGCACCTTTGTCAAAAATCAGTTGGCTGCAAATACGTGGACTTATTTCTGGGTTCTCTAGTCTGTTCCATTGGTCTCTGTGTCTGTTGTCACACCCATACCATGCTGTTTTGGTTACTATAGCCTTGTGATAGTTTTGTTTTTTGTTTTTTGTTGTTTTTTTTTTTTTGAGTCTCAGTCTTTGCCCAGGGTACAGTGGCATGGCATCAGCCTCGCTCACAGCAACCTCAAACTCCTGGGCTCAAGCGATCCTCCTGCCTCGGCCTCCCGAGTAGCTGGGACTACAGGCATGTGACACCACGCCTGGCTAATTTTTTATATATATATTTTTTAGCTGGTCAATTAATTTCTATTTGTAGTAGAGACAGGGTCTCGCTCAGGCTGGTCTCAAACTCTTGACCTCCAGCAATCCGCCCGTCTTGGCCTCCCAGAGTGCTAGGATCACAGGCGTGAGCCACCGCGCCTGGCCTGGGATGCTTTCTTTTATTGAACAACACGAGCTTCCAGCTAACTCCAGGAAAATGCGATTGTCCCACTTGGGAAGAGCCCTCCTCCCCCACTCCCAAAGGTGCGATGTTTCCCTCCAGGCCAACATCCAGGTATGCTGACACGAGCTCTCCCAGACCCTTTCTGAAAGTATATAGAGTGAAATGTGGGGATGAGGGGAAGAGCCCTCGATTCTACTGAAAAGGATGCTTTCTGCTGGGCGCAGAGCAGAGGGCGGGAGGGACGATCACCCAGCCTGTCCCTCCCCACCGCCGGCCTGCGCGGGAAAGGGCAGGGCTCCACAGAAGGTTCCGGAGCCTCGCCCGCCCACGCCCACCTGTGGAATGGGCCGGGCCCCACCCCGCCCCAAGCGTGACCGCCGGGGCCCTGGCCGAGGACGTTTGCAGCCTTTCGCCCACGTCCCGGGGGGGGGCAGGTGGAGAAATAAGAAAGACCCACCGAGAAATCAGTGGACTCTCCCCAGAGCCGGAGCCCGGCCAGCCCGTGCCCATCGTGCTTGCTGCAGCATTTCCGGCACGAAACGCAGCCCCTGTCCAGCGGCCTTCCGACGACAGAAATGATCTAAATTTTACTCATTCAGAAATAAGTTGCCGAGGCGCGTGGGCCTCCTGACACGTGTGGCAGCCGAGAGCAGCCCGGCCACCAGGCGTTTCGACAAGTCTTCGATCCCACCAGAAGCCATGACCAGCCACGAGTTGCGGGATTACAGGGGGTACGCGAGCCCGCGTGTTGATTGCCTGTCATCCCATTCTGCGGGCCTTTTCTGTCAGACCCTGACTCTGACAGGAATGTGTTGTAAACTGTGAAGACGATGACTCCAGGCCGGTGCGCGTGGCCAGCCTGTGATGCTAGCAGTACTGCTAACCGCGAGCAGGAGAATTGCTCAAGGCAGAGTTCAAAACCAGCCCTGAGAAAGAGCAAACCCCCGCTCTCTTACTACCACATTGAGAAAAAAGTTAATTGGGCAACTGAAAAAATATATAAGGAAGAAAAAAAACTTAAGCCGTGCATTGGTGCGGCTGCCCTGATAGCCCAGCTACTCGAGGGCTGAGGCAGGAGGATCGCTTGACCCAGGAGTTGAGGTTGCTTGAGCCAGGTGACGCCACGGCACTGCACTCACCCAGGCACAAAATGAGCTCTGTCTCAAAAAAAAAAAACTTTACACAAAGAAAGGGAACTCCGGAGTCACCTCCGCGCGTGCCAGCCACCTCTGACGGCGGGGCCTTCTCTCCTCACCTGGCCACCCACGCCGCAGTGCCCCCCGTCATCCGCGTCTACCCCGAGAGCCAGGCGCAGGAGCCCGGCGTGGCGGCCAGCCTGAGGTGCCACGCAGAGGGCATCCCCACGCCCAGGATCACGTGGCTGAAAAACGGCGTGGACGTCTCCACCCTGATGTCCAAGCAGCTCTCCCTCCTAGGTAAGAAAGCGCCGCCCTGGGTGTCCGCACGGTGTCCCCGCCCCGTCCAAGCTGAGGCTCTAGGGACGCAGGCGAGAGGCGCGATTTGTTTCTCAGTCAGCCAGGTTGGGGGTGAGCATGTGTCTCTCCAAGTTTTCCCGAGATCTGGGCCCGTAGGGGTCTGGTGACGTTGTGAGAGCAACGATGAGAAGATGTCACCAGGGTCCCATGTCACCGCCAGTTAATTTCGGCCGTGCCAGCCCTGCCTGGGTGTTTTCAAGCCCAACACTCTCAATGGCCCCGTGAAGGAACTGGGGGGTCTCGGCTGAGCGAGCCGCCCGCCCACGCCCCTGTCCGCAGCCAACGGGAGCGAGCTGCACATCCGCAGCGTGCGGTACGAAGACACGGGGGCGTACACCTGCATCGCCAGGAACGAGGTGGGCGTGGACGAAGACATCTCCTCACTCTTCGTGGAAGACTCAGCTAGGAAGACCCGTGAGTCGACCCCTGCCTCCGAGCTTCTCACGGAGCCGCTTTGCGCTGTCAGGGGTCAGGGTGGGGAGGGCGCTGATGGACCAGGGCCACGGCCACCACCTGTGGGGCCCTGGGGACAGGCAAGCCCCATAGCCCTCTATGCACACAGCTGGGACCACAGGGTACCTGGAGGGGAGCTGGCCTCACCTGACCACCTAGGCAACTCTGGGAACGTAGACAGGGCAGCTGGCTGGACGGCAGGCAGAGCCAGGAGCGCAGGGAAGCTCAGGCAGCCCAGCCCCGGCTCTGCCTCAAACTCGTGTGTGACCAGAACCTCCGCCCTCGTCCCCGAGCTCATTCGTGCCGCCCATCCAGGTACTGCCCCCCGAGGCAGCCCAGACACGGGCGGGCGTGCACACTCATGCTCGGGAGTGCGGCAGCCTTTACTCCAGGGCCGTGGCCCCTTGGTGTGGCCCCCACACAGCCCCTGCGCCCCAGGTGGGCCTGCAGGTGGGCCCCCACAGACAGGGGCGTTGATCACCGTCAAAGACTCCGAGCTAAGTCTTTCTCATTAAAAGAGAAACTCAGAAGCATGTCACACGTCTAGGAAAATCCTGGTTGAAAATCAGGGAAGTCATCGGGAAATCTGGGCGAGCTGTAGCTCACGCTTTATCGGCCACAGAACGTGGGGGTCCCGTTGGCTTCCCTGAGGCTTCCCAGGCCAGCAGTGTCCCCGGGGCCTGACTCCAGAGGTTCATTTAGGAATCGAAAGGGCCGAGAGACCCGAAAGCATCTGCTCGTGTCCAGAGCCCCCCAACCCCCCAGTGCCGCTGCTGGGGCCGCGAGTGGTGCAGGTTCTGCCGGGGACCGACCCGGTACTGCGTCTTCATGCACGGAATCGCTGCCGTGCTGGCCTGACGTTGCCTTCTTCTTCCTTCCCTCCCTCCATCTCGGACGTTGCTGCCGTCCGGACCCTCCGCTGCTGCAGTTGCCAACATCCTGTGGCGAGAAGAAGGTAGGGAGCGTGACTTGTCTGCGTCGTGCCCGTGATCATGCGTGTCCGTGGTTCCGAGACGGGCCGTCTGTCTTTGCCAGACGCTGGGCGGTCCCCGCGTGGACGGGAGGTGGGAGGGTGACGTCGCACTAGGGGGCACAAGGCTGGATCGAAGTAACCACCGTCTAGCGTCCCTGACGGGAAAAGTAAACGTGGAAAGTTCCGTTGGAAGATGGAGCAGAGCCTGGCCGGGCTCTGGCTGGAGCTGGGCCCCGAGCTCTCTCCGAGCAGCTGGTGTATCAGCGCCGGTGCTTTGTCGACCCTGGCCGGGCTCTGGCTGGAGCTGGGCCCCGAGCTCTCTCCGAGCAGCTGGTGTATCAGCGCCGGTGCTTTGCTCGTCACGCGCAGCTTAGAAAAGACCTAAAAGACAGCCGTAGATTTCTACGGGGTGGTAGCTCTGCTTCCGGTGTGCCTTGATCGATGAATCGCAGAAGGAAGAAAGCTACCGTGATTTCCGTAACTGTATATGTTTAAATGTGTAGATTTTTAAAAATACATTTATCCAACAAATTTTCAGATATTAGGTTGAGCCCTATGAAATCGCCATTTTGGTACGTCCAAAATGGTCTAATAGTGACAATTTCATAGGGTTCAAAAACCCACAGGCACGTGTGGGTCATGGAGTCCCTGTCCTCATTCTGTGACAACCTCTCACCCCCCCTCCCAGACCTGAGCCCAGGTCCCCTTAAAGTCACTCGCTCTCAGCGCGGGGGGCCACAGGAAGGATTGGGGTGCAGCATGTGGGTGCAGGCTAAGCACAAAATCTCCGTGTTTAAAGCCTAGGGTGACCGGGCGCGGTGGCTCACGCCTGTAATCCTAGCACTCTGGGAGGCCAAGGCGGACGGATTGCTCGAGGTCAGGAGTTCGAAAGCAGCCTGAGCAAGAGCGAGACCCAACCCTGTCTCTACCTATAAAATAGAAAGAATTAATTGGCCAACTTGAAATATATATAGAAAAAAAATTAGCATGGCGCATGGTGCACGCTGTAGTCTCAGCTCAACAGGAGGCTGAGGCAGGAGAATTGCTTTGACCGCAGGAGTTTGAGGTTGCTGTGATGAGGCCACCACACTCTAGCCGGGCAAGACAGCCGCAAG